TCCTGCCCGCCCAACGTCGAGAATGGGAAGACAATGAGGCACCATATGTCGCGCATGACACCCTGTCCCGAATTTTGGGATAGCACTGGAAAACGGAAATTTGAATCTGGACACAAAATTTGGACTAGAGATTATGGCATGTGCACTATGTGGTCAAAATATCAAGTCAGTCGGAGCAAATCTCGCTCCGTAACGCCAATTTGAAGATTTGTTGTCCATGCATGCCTGGGACACCCTGTCCCATTGCGCGGGAGATTATTTAGGGTTGGAAATTTTGAATTTGGACACAAAGTTTGGACCAAGTCATTTAGGCGGGATGTAAAGATTCGCTCAAAATTTTAAGTCAGTCGAAGCAAGGTTCGCTCCAGGACGCCAATTTGAAGCTGCGGGGTGACTACACGGGCGAGGGGATAGGAGAGTTTTTAACCCAAATACGATGACCTGATCGAGGAGTTAACGATACAGGTGAATTTTGAACACTGGGGGCGTCGCGGATGGCCGTTGCATGTGGAAATATCCTGGATGTCCCAAACTCCCCCAACAAAGTTGGCCATCTTTGTAATTCGGGTCGTTTCATTAAAAAAACAGGCATTTGAGGCAACAACAAGATGCGACCACCATCGAGCTTCCTGCAAATGCAAAGATTGCACTAACAACCTCCCCATACATGCGCAATGACAGTGATCGTTACATTGACGAGTCACCGCCGTTGAAAGGCAACATTGCAATAGAAAACGTCGAGAAAACAGCGGCGCAGCAACTGTCCACCCACAAGCCTTGGCCAACAGCCTATGCGTGGGACGCTTAAACTCTGCACGTGTATGTGACACACATTGCCATTGCGCACTCGCCCATCCAGACTATGCCTGCGCAGTGGCAGATGCAGTAAGGGGCAGATCCTGCCGTGAAGAGGGCAAGATGAACAGAGCCACATTGGAAGGTTCATTTGACACTGCAAAAATAGCTTGTGCGGCCTCATGCCAGCCATACAGATCCAAAATTTTTACCAATACTTAAATATTTTTGGCGAATTTTCTGCATTTTCTTTCGACACCCCCTTTGCGAAGAAGGGGCTGTCAGAACAGGGCACCTGTTCCTCCTTGATACTAATGGGCCGTGTGTCTGTGTTCATTGGTGATCACCTTCCATGCTCGCCAGAAATTGGCAAGCGCTACTTTGACCAGCGATCATCCTCCCTGCGGCCTTCACACAGAACTTCCCGTGCTCCAGAGGCACCGCGCACATGGCGAAAGCGTAGGTAGTTTTGGTTGAGTTTGTCTGGTACAGTTACATACGTACTTGGTGTTTTGCCTGGAGTGCCCGGAGGAGCTTAACTGACATAGTATATACGCACTTGTGTGAGCTCATCTGCTACATTGCCTTGCGGCCCGCACCTCGAAACATCTTAAATCTGTTCTAGATCCTGCCAGAATAGGTACAGAGTCGCACAAGACAGCTTGTTACACAGCACATTAAAGGCCCCGTCATGCACAGCTCCATCTCTCCTCAACCACCAGCATGATGCCTTGCACATCTCTAAGTCCGCGCCAAAATTCGCACTGGCGACAGGAGGCAGGTTCTAATAAGTAGCTTTGTTTTACATGTCATGGCGTGATGGACAGGTGACATCCATGACATAAGCATTGTAGTCAAACTTTATAATAAAGAGATCTTCTTGATGCGCAAAAAAACGCTGTTGCGACAGCAGGACTGTTCCGCCAGGGAGTAGGCATGCACACACGAAAACGTTACAGTTTGCTGTCCACAATACACACCTGCGCTAAACAAGCCACCACGTTCTCATCCCCCCCAAAATGCGGCATCAACAACGAATTTCATGATCTGGCCCCTGCTACACAAAAGTGCGCCCCTCTGTGCAGGTAGGCCCTTCGCAAGCAGATTTGTGCACCACTGCATTGGGCCACACCTCGAACTGTTGTGTGCTCGTATCACCACAGCAAGTGCGCCCTTGTCTCTATTCCTTCCTCTCAGATGCGCATCCAAGGGGCCGAGCTTGGCAAGTCCACTTGAACGGCAAAAGCAGCCAGAAGACAAGCTCAGCACCAATCGGCAATCGACAATTGCTGGCAGACACCCCCGCAGAGAGCTGCTTGTGGTTCCACACAAGGAATCACCTATCTTTGATGAGATGGGTAGCCCAACACAAAACATCTGATTAGCTGGTTTTTGAAAGATTCCAATTTCCAGCTATGCAAACCCCTACCCTTCAGGCACCCTTAAACTAACAGTGGTGCAATTCAAGGCGATGTGTATCCCTTCGTCGTTTTGGCGCATTTTGAGGATCATTGTATCATATGGAATGAGAGGCAGCCAGATTTGTGCAAGAGTTCAACAGCTGTCCTTTGGGACCTACTGGCATGCCCAACATCTTGGGCCAACTGCCAGGGAACTTGCTTTCGTGGATGCACATGTGTAGGGTGGTAGACGGGGAAGCATTGTTGTACATAGAGACACAGGCTTCAAGGTCGGCACTGACGTCAGTAGGCAGCCAGGGAAGGAGAGATGTGGACAGGGAGATGAGCATGGAAAGGAGGCAACACAACTTGAGACGCAACAGTGCAAGTGGACGGGCTGCGATACATGCAGGAAGGCAGAGAATGAGGCATGGAGACAGGCAGGTGTGCAGGCGGGTGGGCAGGGACAGAGCTGAGTAGGCAGCCAGGAATTTGGGTAAAGAAGCTGGAGAGCAGGCCAAGATATTAGGCAACAGCAGGCTGCAAAGCACAGCGTGATAGAAGCTGCATTGCAGGTAGTGATGTGAGTTGGGCAGCAGGTGATGTGAGCCAGAATTTAGACAACTGGGCACAAAGGCGTGCAGGCAGTGGTACAGGGGTGGCAGAGGTCAAGCAGCAGGTCAGGTTGACAGACAGGCAGGCAGGGATGGGAGGCAGGGGGCCCCTGATGCAGGTGAGTGAGCAGAGGTAAAGGCAGGCAGGGAGTGTTGCAGTTATGCAACTATACCGCAATGCTCGTAAGCAGCACAACAGGGCAGAGCGGCAGGAATGATGATGGGTAGCCTGAAGGCAGCAATCGACGCAGGGGTTAGAACAGGGTGGAGGTGGCAGCCCTGATGTCGGTGGGACGAGTGCATAAAGGCACCCCAATGAGATCGTTGAAAGCGATCTGCACCACCTGGCTGAATTGCGACAGGGCGATACCAACGGCCTTGACTGCAGCTAGTGCGTTGGGCTACTGACGCAAACGTTGAACCCCAACAAATGAGTTAATCCTACGGCGCCCCATGCTGGGGGGGGGCCTAAATGATCTCGACTATTTCCCAGCCAGCCATCGCATCAGGCATGTGGGCCCATTCAGGGGCGCAGCAGAGGCCCTGTACATCTTCCTGGGGCGACTTGGATCGCGACCTGTGCGCCAATCACCCTGCCATACTCTCCCGTTGGGCGCCCTATCGCTGCCCTGCCTGGGATACGTCACCCTGTCCGCTCAGTTTCCTGGCATTGCAGAGCACGATGCGTGTCTGGTCCTTCGCCAGGCCCGGCGTGTGGAAGATTCCCTCATACTCGCATCCGATCTTTGTTTGCAGGAGGGAGCCCACGGACAGGTCAGAGATGGCGACTACCCTTACAGCACGCCAACAAAAAAGTACGCGGCTGATTGCCATGGAGCCGCAGGGGAGCCGCTGCCTGGCGCTGCTCCAATCGCCACTCGTCAGCCACCCTCACCCACTCATACGCGCTCATAAGACAGGCGACTAGTCCAAGAACACACACGTGCGCGTGCCACATTCACCTGCATGGTGACCGGGTGACCGCCACACAGGCGCTGATGATCGGTGGTGCCCGTGGAAGGGATGCGGGGGAGCGCCGGCAATGCCAGCGATGCCGGGAGGACAAGGAACCATGCTGCCCACTGACGCCTTCAGCGTCCAAGCGCCATCGCTGTAGGCTCGCAGCCACCACCTGTGGGTGTCCATTAAACTCGGGCGGCCTGCCCAGCCCGGATTCTCAGTGATTCCTGTTCAGACCGTGGTAAACCTAATACACAACACACTCACTCCCCGAGGGGAGGCGTCCTCATCTGGCACACTTGGGGCGCTCCAAGGGCACAATGGTGCCGCACACATCAGATTGCAAAAACCCTCTTTTACATAACGTCAAGCTGCAATTCCATAGGGCTGAGGTGGGCGGGTGCAAAAGACTAAGGTGGGCGGGTGCAAAAGAAAGAATATGACTGCCTTTCACCACACCTCTTTGTCCATGCCCCAACCGGCGCAGAACCCAGTGAACTAACCAACACATGTGTTAGTCACTCCCGGTTGGCACCCCACTTGCCCAGTCCAATAGCATACCGTGACTCAAGGTTCACCAACTGTCCACGCAGGCGTAGCCCCTCCAGGGGAAGTGTGACTCACTCAGTGCCGCCCTAAGTCGACTGGGGGCGCAACCGAGCTACCACAGGTCCTTCCTGTGGACTTCCCTCCCAACGGCCTTTTGCCCTTTTAACTTCATTCACTGACGTCAATTACGTATCACCTCTTCATTACAGGCCACGGCTCACCCCGTTTCCTGCAGATTTTCTGATGCAAGGATGCATCGATGGGCCCCGAACGGTGCACCACGTGCCCCACACACTTGCACACGCGGTGCAAACCTTGAGCTTGCAAACGTGAGAGAATGGAGAATGGACGACTTGCACCAACCTTAGAATAGTCTGCCGAGCAGTGCGCCAGCCTCGCTTGCCGTCCGCAGCCGTCCACGGCACGGGACGAAACGGGATGGTGTTTCAGTCCGACGTCGTACGAAGACGTCGGTCACACAGCACTCTGTGCTTCACTGTTGCTGCCGGGCGAAGCCGAACCGGGGCTATCGGGGCCTAACCTCCTCTAGTGTAATTTATACGTGCTGATGTGGCCTGCCCGGTCACTCCCCAGGGGGCGCCAAACGTTTGCCGTCGCAACCAGCCTCGACGCCTCGCCTGGCCGGCCCACCACCGGGGGCGTCCGCCCCGTCCCAAGAGGGATGCCGTGCCTCTCCCCATTCGCAGCCTCCCGCCTGACCCGCAGCTTTTTCTTTCGGGGGTGCCTTCTTCATTTCCAGCAGGCCGCGGCCACTCACAAGGTGGGCACTGTCCCGGCTCTGGGAGGAAGGTGGAGCCGGACGGAGGCGGCGGCCAACGCCGGATGCCCATTTTGGCGCCGTGCGTTGGGGCAGCCGTGGGCTGTGGGCGTCTGGAGATGGTGAGATCTTGGGTTGAGCTTGCGCGGAGCCTTTTTGGTTCACTCTTTTGAAGTCGCAGCCCGCGGCACGTGGCGCCGGTGGGGGGACACTGGAATCCCTGCCGACGCCGCCGACACCGCCACTCACCCCGTGCCCCCTTGCGAAAAATCCCGCCGACGCTGCTGACGCGTCATCAGCCTTCCAGCCCCTCCCTGCCACGTAGCAAGGGGCTGTGACGCCCCCTTCGACGTTGCTGGAGATCGGGTCTTTTCTCTTCCGGTTGCAGCGCGGCAGGGAGCCGCAATCAATTTGTCAAACAAACGTGTCGCTCAAATAGGGGAGTGGGTGGGGCCGAGCTGCCGCTTTTGCCAAGCTCCGGTCCCAGTCAAGTTGTCTTTGGATCCCGCCGTTCGGGCCAGGGTACGAGAGCGCGTGCATTCTCGCTCTGCTTTCCGGTATATTCGAATTGGGATTGTCGAAATGCCGTGGTTTTGCCTGCTCGGAGCTAACTGAAACTGAGGGGCAGCGCTGCCTCGCTCAAGTGCCGTTCCGACAGCCCCCAGTCCGTTGACCGTGCAAACGTGCATGTTGACCGGCCCTGGCCAGTTGACCGTGCGTACATCCGAATGCACCACTCCCGTCTGCTACGGGCAGCCCCCTTTCTTCGCCCAAGGCCAAAGCTCCGTTTCGATGGAGAATGGAGGAGGGCATGGATGCAGAAGGACTCCTTCTTCGCCCACCCATTGAAGCTTGGCCAATTCACAAAATGTAATCCCTTCCAGGCACACAGATGCCAGAATCCTACCCTGGTTGTTGATCCCCCACCCAAGGCTGGCGGTCGAACTGCGCCACTCAGATGTTCCCAGTCGTTCTTTATTCGATAGCTACGGGTGCTGGCGAAACATTGCCATTCTGACAGAGCTGGCATGTGCTACACATGGCCTCAGACATTGTGTGTTGGGGTTTTGCATGCTTTGTGAAATGAAGGATCGTCTGAGAGCGGTATAACAGCAGTACAGGAATAATGGCAATGGAACAATGATAAAGGAATTTCAATCAGTCAAGGGGAATGACATACAACACAGTAGGGGTGCTGGACCGCTAGGCTGTTTATATGTCCGTGAGAGGCTTGTGTTACAAACGGCAATGCTGGCCCCATCAGGTGAAATTTCAGGACATGAGCACATCGGAAATATACCGCATTTACCTGGTATTAGTAGGCTTGTACTGGATCCCCAGAATTAGGGGTGGATGCTGACAGTGGGTCACACATACTAACGCAGTTTGGACCCCTGATCTCAAAGATGAGACAAAGAAAAGTTTTGACAAATAGACCGTGAAATGCCCAGAAATGGGCAAAAATGGCAATGCTATTGCAGAATGCTGTCAGCCTCTTCACGGGAGCTGGCAGCCTTGACTCGGGGCTGCACCAAGCGGTGGCGACTGGCGATTGGGCCCAACAAGGCTTCGTTGGAAAGCTCGAGGGGCGTTTGTCTCTTCAATGCAGAGAACGAGGACCGACATGGGTCTCGACTCGCTGGGGCGCCATGTCGCGACGATGGGCTTGACACGCAGAATTTTCCCGGGCTGATGCCGGCTGAGAAGGCTGATGGGATCTGTGTTTGAGTTTGTGGCCTGGCAGTCAGTGCGATGTGCAAATTGGGGAGGGGCCGGGCTTCGCAGCGTTTTCAGGTAGTTTTGCAAGACGGGGTCTCGCAACGGCAGCCGCCCCGACCAGCGCCGTCGCCTGCCCATTCCTGGCGCTGGGCCTTGGGCGCCCTTGGCAGGCGCCAGGCCGGAACCTTCCCTGGCCTGCTGGAGAGCAGGTTGCCTCAATCCAGAAACCAGGGCGGCTTTGATTTCTCGACCGCTTCTTTGATCGGCCCAGCGGCGTCGGTCGCTGCCCTGCGAGCCTGCGCTGAGAGCGCCAACGGCAGCCAGTCGACCATGCAGCCTGTCGCGGGGCCCCTTCAAAATTTTCCCTTGACATTGTCCACCCTGGCCCGATCGTCTCCGTCGATGTGCGAAGATCAGGGAACGAGGTTTGGTCCAGACTGGGCAACGCGGTCCAACACCAGCTGCCGGCTTCCCTTGCCGCCATCCGCGCCTTCGCTCGTATCTGTCTATGTTTGTGGGCGGATACTAACAACGGGGGCATACTAATACCGGGTAAATACGGTAATAGCAGGAGACATGTTTCTCGGAGTGATGAAACACATTGTGCATTGTTCAGTGACCCGACACACATGATGGAACGATGCATTGCTGGAGATGATACCAATAGTAGAAGCAACATTGAGAATAGTTGCAGCATCAATATTGTGCATCTACTGCAGCGGCTGGCAAGGATCAAACATGCTTTGCAAATCACAGCATATTCTGTAAATCTGTCATTTCATGCAATGGCATTGGCTCGCAGGAATGAACATGCACGAATGCACATAGGGCAGCAACATGCCGTCCAAGTGGCCTGTGGATCATCCACAGTGGGTGCCCCTGAAGACAAGGCGCCAGAAGAGGTAGCAGCAGGGGTTCAACCCGACCCAGGGCACATCATGCAGATCGGAATGGGGTTCATGGCGTCCAGGGTGCTGCAAGTGGCCGTGGGCCTGGACCTGTTTACAGTGCTTGGCCACAGTGCCATGAATGCAGAGGAGCTGGGCAGAGCCCTGGAGCTGCACCCTCGAGGCACGTACGATTTTTTTGACGCCCTTGTGGCGCTGAAGCTCCTCGATCGGGAAGGTGATGGCGTGGATGGTCGGTACAGGAACACGCCGTCGACGGCAGCATTCTTGGACAGGAACAGCCCAAAGTGGCTGGGCGGAATCATCAACATGATGAACAGCAGGCTGTACGGTGTCTGGGGAGGGCTGCTAGGGGGATTGAAGACCGGGACTCTGCAAAGCACACAAGGCGAGTCGTTTTTCGACTACCTGGCATCCAGCAGGGAGGTATTAGTCGACTTCCTTGAAGCCATGAACAGCATTCAAAGGCCGAATTTCCATCTTTTGGCTGAGAAATTCGACTTCCAGAGGTACAAGTCGGTGAGCGATGCTGGCTGCGGACTGGCGCTGCTCGCCATAATTGTGGGTGGGTATCACAAGCACCTCGCTTTCAATGTGCTCGACCTTCCGGCCGTGACGCCCCACGCTCAGGAGCGCATCAAGGCGGCGGGCATCGCGGATCGTGTCACGGTGCACGCCGGAGACTTTTTCGTCGACGGTCTACCCGATGCAGACGTTGTCTTCATGGGAAATATTTTGCACGATTGGAACCTAGAGAAGAAGACGGTTCTAATTAGGGCAGCTTATGATGCGCTGCCAGTAGGCGGCGCCTTTGTGGTCGTGGAAGACGTCATAGATGACAAGAGGAGGGAGAGTGTGCCTGGGCTGCTAATGTCGCTCAACATGCTGGTGGAAACAGGGGATGGGTTCAATTTCACAATGGCGGATTTTCAGCAGTGGTGCAGCGAGGTTGGCTTCAGGCGTTTTGACACCATACCACTAGCAGGGGCCTCCGCAGCCTTGGTTGCCTACAAATAGGTGGGTTGCAAAAGGTGCCGGAATCTTTGCCATTGGTTGCGCTTTCGGGCACTGCAGTACTGGCACGTCGATTGAAAGGTGAGCGGTTTCCGAAGTGGGTGGCCTCAAGGAATAGGTACGCAGATTGTGGGTTGTTTAGAGCCTCTCGGCGAGAGAATTGGCACCTGTGCATGGTCATTGTGACACACTTGTTGACAATTTGAGAGCGGATGGGCCTCGCCACGCGAGAAGTTCAGTAACAGCGCAGGCAAAGGCACGACTTCTTTTGTACATTAGCTGCACTTTCACTAGGAGAGCGGTAGGATAGGCCCATCACTCGCTCCGATACTTGCTCTGTCCGATACCTTCAGTGCATGATCATGCACTTCATGCGCCATCGATCAATGACAATGCATGTTGTGGCGTGTCACTGCATGCGACCCATGACCACAAAGAACAACACGAATTTTGCGGAAACGACTGCTGGATGTTTGACTGTTCCAGCCTTCTCTTCCAGTTTGTACGGCAGACGTTTAGCAACGAGAGTTGCCATCTTCAGAATGTGCAAACCGAAAGATAGGAACTCTGAATTACATCCATGGTGACAATGACGGAAGGGCATGAGGAGATGGAGCCATGTTGTGATACCTGAGGGAAGTTCCAGTGCGACATTGGCTATTCTCTTGGACAGAACGCCCGCAATGCATCTTACCCAGCGCAAGGCGCTCACCCAGAGAAAACGACATTTTGGCGATGCCAACTGCGATGCCATTTGACACTGACTGGCGCCCTCACACTTATTTTTCTCTCATCGCTATCACAGTGATGGCACCACTTTGTGTCAAAATGGCGTCGCAGATAGCATTGCAAACACGATGTTTTCTTGTAGTGACTGGTAAACTGGCACCCAAAAAATGGCATTAAGTTGTAGATTAACATACATTACGCATAATCCAAATGTCAGCGCAACACGCTGTGGTTCTTTTAACCGCTGTTCATCGCCGCTCATGCTCGTCACGGTGCCAATTTGATGGGCGGCTACCCTCTCTGCGGACAGCACATACCGTAAAGTATTCAACCCTTCCACATAGTAACGTAACGTTTGACCTATTTTCGCAGAGAAAAAGGGATAAATAGCAGCGCAGCTCTTGGCCCCTTTTCCGGAGCAACACAACGAAAATTGCAGTAATGCTCTAAAAACAAGAACTCGGAGCAAAAAGCGCAACTGTGAAATTTTCTGATGTGGGGGAGTTTAATATTTTACTGCACAACAATCCACGTTCTGCATTTATCACACACACACAGCGAGCACGTCAATGATGGCCTAAACAGGGCTACAATACACACAAGAATGGAGCACACACCGCGCATCGTAAGACTCTGGCATTCCATGTTAGGAAAGGGCACATTCTGCAAAGGCGTCCTTTTGTTATCAATGCATTCACATTCGCACACGTGTGTGTGCACGAGCATACACACACACGATTGATCGCCGATCATCTCGACAGGCCAACCAATCCAGAGGAAAACAAACTGCATCCACAGCAACAATTCAAGCGCAGCACAAAATGTAGGAAAGGGCAAACAATCCAGGAAACAACGCAAAAGTTCATGCTCACAAACTCCACATCTACTCGCTTGCCATTTACAAACAACAGCATCAATTTGGCGTCCTCCACATACACAGAGTTGTCCAACGGAATTGCCAGCTTCCTATTGGAATTGTGGGACTCTTTGTTGTGCTTCAGGTCGACAAGCACATTTCGAAAGAAATGTGACTCTGGTGCCAACAAAGCACTCTGTGGAATGGGAGTCTCTGTTCCCTGCACCAACCAGACGACGTCGCACAGCTCTCACAAGTGGTCATCGTCTTCAAAGATGGTGGAAGAGATCCTCCACTGCTTTGCTCTCTCTTCTCTTTTCTGTTTTGGTGGCATTGCTCACTGTCATGGACGCTGCAATGGGCAACAAGCGAAACCATGGTAGCACCAGAACATAAAACAAGCATGTACGCTTCATGGCCGCAGATTGGGAGTGCATGGTATGCTCTGGGTGAATGGTGCGAACTGTAAGCAATGCATACAGTTAGCACTGTGTGCTACACGACACGTTGTCTGTACGGTATCCTGAAAGGCTGCTGCCCTTATAGCCAAGAATCCATAAGAACATAATAATTGCTCGTTGTTGTCACATGCTCACATGCATTGGAGACAATGCACATCACTTGAATGTTTGTATCATTTTATTATATTTGCCTGAATTATAGTATGCGCTTACAACTATACTGTTGCCGTTGCCTTTGCCATAAAATGATACTGTCCTGTTTTGAAGAATTCAGTTTCCCCAAGGAAGCGATCGTCAATTTTAACAATGTCCTTATTTCTGGTATTGTGGCAATACCCCATGGAATCTGATCTACAACAGCGAAGACGGCCACACGTCCACAATATCAATCATTTGGTTCACATCGGCTCGCACTGGTCTTCGAGGTCGCCACAAGGCGCGCATCCCTTCTACGACGATGGGAGCGCACTTGGACCCTCGAGCGCGATGAAGTAATTCTAAGCAAAAGCAGAGAAAATGAACCACACGATCACGACATCCGCGACCATTTCCGTCCAATGCACCGCTCTCGCCGCGCTCGAGCGCTCGCACCCCAGCCCCCGCGTGCGCATGCGCTGCGCTGCGCGAAAATCATCGTTGACGGCTCCGGTAGCAAGCGGGTCATGATTGCTGGAAGCGCCTCCTTCTTCCCTGACAACGAATAGCTCGTTCCGGTGATGGGCGGCGCAGGTAGCGCTCTGCAGAAACGGGACCGCTCTGCGCAAGGCCTGATCGTCCGATCCACCGTGGTCGCAACGAATTGCCAACAGTGACCGCTCCCCTTTCCCCCTACGCATTCTGGTCGACCGTGGCACCCATACCGCGGCAGAGCGGAACAGGCCCCGCTGCGGGCTTGCTTATATGGTGGTGGTTCCGTTTTATGACCCGTGTTGCCCGATTTTGACCAGCATCTTGACACCCACCCGCCTCACACACATACCCACGAACAAGGGGACGTGTGCTAACCATGCTGCCGGACCTGGCTTGTCACGTTTCGGGGCAAACAATGCTTGGGCTACTCCGCAGCACACCACGCGCCCAATATAGCCTCGTTGCTCCCGGGCCTGAATGTCCTCGGTGCCTGGCCGCAAAATCCTGACGCACATACACGCACACCGCCGCACTTCTGGGACTCACCTCCGGCCTTCCCGCGATCCAGCAGCGCGCGGCGCAGCGCCTCCCATCTCGAGCAGAGCGTGCCGGGGGTCCCCCGTGGCGCTGGATCGGCAACGAGCAAGCAACTGCGCGAGACCGGGGTCGAACTTGGCGGAAAATTTTCCCGCCTCCTGTTGAAGGCCAAATTCGGGCCGGTTGGACTTGGACAGAAACACTCGTTTCTGTCCAAGTGGGTCGCGCTGTGCAATAATGTACTGTGACCCGATGCAGCATGCATTAATGTATGAGGTTCCCAACGCTGGTTCAAGGGGCCAAACACCCCTTGAAGCGCTCCCTGCTCTTCGGTGGGTCCCGCAGCGGGCGGCAGCAGGGAGCGAGGAAAGGCGCAGAGCGACCTGGGGACCAGCGGGTAAGTCGCCTCAGCCACGTACTTGAGTCGCCACGTCCGGAAGCGTCATCCACACGGTGGATCCTCATCTCTCCCACGATCGAACGCTTGCTGGCATCCCTTCGAAATGAAATTTGGCAAGTCGTGGAGCGCCCAGAGGCGCCGCTGTCCACGGCCATTGCAGGCCCGCCCCCGAGTCGCTGCGCTCGGAAGCCGGAACCACGCAGCGGATCTTCATCCCCCCACGTCGATACAACACGCGCTGGCATCCTTTCGAAAGGAAGTTCGTGTCGTCCATTTGAATTCGTCCTCTTGAAAGGAAACTCAAGTCGTGGACCGCCCAGTGGCGCCGCTGCCTACGGCAGCCTGGGCGCTCCCCGGCGTCAGTCAAGCCTCTGCCTGCTGGAAGCGGTGGGGACAAGGTTAGGCCGCCAGTCTGGCCAGCGATAGTGCCGATCGAATCGACCCTCTGCCGAATTCCTTTTTTGTTATTCCAAATATCGCATCACATTTCAAAAATATTTTGTTCGACATTGCCTTGGACGGGACAGATCGGTGCCCGTGCACCTTGTGGGCGATGATGGGCATCCACACATCTAAGAACTCTATTCCTGCACAGTGTGAGTTCATTTTGCGCCTGTGTGATCAGACACCGCGTTGTGATCGAGCCTCGGTGATCGCCTGCTTGTCGCTGGGGCATGGATTCTCTGCCGAATCAGCTGTGCCTTTGTCCGTTGGGAGGAGCAGGCAAATTGTGCAGAGTCCTGTGCTTCCGATTGACACCGCAGGCAAACGTAATCAGGGTGCCTGGTTGCCGAAGTGCGATAGTCCTGTGGAACCGCATTTTGTTTCAACTGCAAAACAGTTGATCCTGGTTGCGAAAATCCAGGTGCTGCACCCATGCCAGCAGAAAATTTGTGGACCTTTTGCAACCTCAAAAGAAAATGTGGGACTATAAAACGCTGAAAACATGCCCCCATGAAAAGAACGCACTATCCAAAAGATGATCTCAGTCGTTGCAGTGGTCAGAAGGAATGACAAAGTACCACCCTTGCACCCACCACACGATTTTCAGTGCTGTCACAGTTGTTGGAACCTTTTTGACGAATTTGTTCCCATGCTCCCAACATATCCAGAGTTAGAATGGGGAGTCAAATGGCAAACAGAAAAGCAACACGGCAGATAAACAAGAACAAGAATAAAGGAGCTGCTCAGATTCTGCCAGCTTTCCTTGACATCATCTGTTCTATGTGCCAGAGGTCGAGCGGGCCTCTCTCATAGAGGCAAGCGTTCTTCTGGCAAGACACAGACCTTGCACCTCAGGGCGTTGCAGCCCACATGGTTGCTCACAGAATGTTCAAAACGCGAACGCCGTAGCTTTCATACTTCAAATTCCGTGCAAGCATGGTGGCAACCTTGGAAAGTCAATACTCAGCTCAACCACAATCAGCATTAACTATTACATTGCCTTCAACTTGCCAAACTTACGTAATTAAAATTCAAAATTAGCATTAACCTTGACAATGTCAGTGACTCAGTTGGCCCCTGCAGGCTTGACAGGGCTAGGACAGTTGTGGGTGCTGCCGTCAGGCAAGATAGATGCCGTCTCAGAAATTGACTCAAAAGGAATGCAACTACTTGCCTTGTTGTCTCTGCCTTTGATGTGAGAACCCTGTAGAACTATGACAAGTTGCTTGTTAAGACATGGATGGGCACCCATATCCCTTATGTGCAGGGATGTTTTGAAGCGAAAGAATTGACACATTTCTGAGCCGCAATATGCCTGAGGAGTAACCGAACGAGGTAACATCCCCACACCGCGGCCACTCATGGTGCTAAACTGAAATCTGGAAAACTCAAAGCAATGCCAGTTCAATCATTCAGTTCTCTTCTTAATAAGTTAGCAGTGTTATGTGATTGTGCCAGTTGAATTATTCACTCTTTTTGAAAAACATATGGCAAATGAACACAGCAATGCAATTTCAAAATACAGAGATGGAGATACAACATGGCATGAAGCTGAGTTTGTTGATTCCCAGATGGGCCTTGTTGACTTGCTCCTTGTTTTTTTGCCGGAGTAGAGTCATGCAACGAACAGATTGGGACCACCTGCCCCTGGGGGTGCTGGATGCTTTGCAGGAGGTGGCAGCTTGGGATGAGGGCAGCAATGGTGCAAACTTGAAAGTGCTTCGATTGGTAAACAAGCACTGGGAGCACTGGGCCAGAGGATCTGTCACTGACCTGTACGTGCACGGATATGCACCGCTGCGGCAAATTGCCAGCACGATCGGAAGAAAATTCACCAGGGTTCGGAAGTTGAGCCTTTTGAAGTATAGGGGGGGGATCAGGGGTGAAGCCAAGGCACTGGCAGGCTTGGGGGGATTGATGCATCTGGAGCTTTATGGACATGAGCTCGCTGCTGACGATTTGAGGTACTTGGGGCGGCTGACAGGGCTCACTAGCCTCGACGTTTCTGCTTCACGGGAGGCGAACCTTGTGGATAAGCGTGACCGCATCTTTGGAAGCACAGCAGGAGAAGGGGTGAGCCATTTGGTGGCGCTGACTGCGTTGAAGCACTTGTGGTTGGATCATTATGCCAGTGTGTCTGATGAGTGCATGAGGTGCCTGGGGGTGCTTACGGGTCTGGAGTCGTTGAGCATGTGCTACTGCAGGCACATCACCAACGTGGGTGCCGAAAACTTAGGGAAGCTCACAGGCCTGACACGGCTGGACATTTCCTTGAAAGCCGATCATTCTGATGCTGTGCCCATCACAGACGCTGGCTTCAAACACGTGGGGCAGCTTTCTGCCCTCAAGCACCTGTTGCTCCAAAATTGGAACAGCATCGCCGATGAAGACCTCGGACAACTGGGGAATTGTGCAAGCCTTCAGCATCTAGATATCAGTGGGTTGCACAAGATTACATATATGGGCTTGCAGCACTTAGGGAGGCTAGCTGCCCTGACTTCATTGTTTTTGGACGATTGTCACATTTCGGACATTGGATTGGCAGTCATTGGCTTGTTAACAGGGCTCCAATGCTTGAGCGTGCAAGACAACCCAGAGATCACGAATGCGGGCATGGTACACGTGGGGGCCCTTGTAGGCCTGACAAAACTGAGTGTGGGACTGTGTATTGGATTATCCAATGAGAGCTTGATGCACCTGGGCCGATGCACACGGCTTCAAGAATTGGACATCAGCAGTATAGGAAAGATAACAGACGTTGGTATGTGGCACATGAGGCAGTTGAATGCCCTCATTTCACTCAATTTGGAGAATAACGACACAATCATGGGCTCAGGATTTGTGAACATTGAAGCTGCGACAAACCTCCAGTCCTTGAACCTCAACGCATGTAGCAAAATGACTGATGTGGGTATGAAGCCCATGGGGCAATTCACCCATCTCAGGCAATTGACTTTGAGCCATTGTCCATTCATATCTGATGAAGGATTGGCCAAAGTGGGAGAATGTACCAGACTCAAATATCTCGACATCATGCGCTTGGCAAGAATTACTGATGTGGGTATGCTACATGTGGGGAAGCTAAAAGGGCTGACATTCTTGAATCTAAGGAGGTGCTACAATGTTTCTGATTCTGGATTAGAGCACATCGGATCGCTGTCAGACCTCCAGCATTTGGACTTGAGTGTGTGCCGTTGTGTCACCAATGCTGGCTTGGAACATGTGGGTAAATTGGTCAGCCTCCACAGCCTAACTTTATCCTGGCTTTGCCACATCACAGACCAAGGGCTGGGGCAGCTAAAGGGCCTGACAGCGCTAAAACGCTTGGGCTTGGTGAGGTGCGAAAATATCTCTGCAGATGGAGAGAAAGCTTTGAGAAAATGTCTGCCTTCCCTGTAGGAGTGCTGTTTGTGGGTATGAGGATGTGATGGTTGGAAGCGACATTGTAGGAACATGCACGTGTGAAAGGTATATGAAGGAGAAAGGATATGTGGATCAGTTGCATGTGCTGCTTTTGTCCTTCTGTTTTGTATTTGGCGTGCACATTTACACGGCTGACCAACACCTTGCAAAGACGCTTAGTACTGCCATGAGGACCAGCCCAATGCGTTGATGCTGCTTGCACGATCACACAAATACGGTTTGTATCACTGAGGAGATTCCAGTTCATGTTTTGTGTGCATAGATTTGGATAGGCCGGCTTGGCACAGGAATGCTGCTGCAGATGGTTTGAAATTTGCTCAAGAACTATCATTTCTGGATATGTAAGTCATAAAGGGGTCATCAAGGTCACGAAGGGTACAAGGGGCTCAAAACCCAAGAGTGCCAGGCTAGAAACCGCAAAAAATACGATAATATCGTTCATCACATTCACGACAAGCAATGAAGGCTATTTTGTGGATGGATGATAAACGTATCTGGACCTGGGGACATGCGCTGTAGGGGCGAACCAGCCCACCTGCTGCTCCACAAATGACTAAGAGGGACAAGGCATTGGGGGTGTAGCGCATGAGATTGAACGCTTGCAGCCCAACCAGCGAAGTGCGGCGATAAGCCAGCTTCTTTTTGACTCACGTTGTCGCACGATTGCAAAATGTTGATGCCTGGAAGGCATTCGGCTGCCTTAAAGGCATTTGCGCTTCAGCCTTCCAGCGCGTGGTCGCACCGTACTGGCCATTGGGGCGAACGAACAAAGGCGTGGCGATGCTGGTTCAGAAGCGCTATCAATACCATCGCACAAATTGTCGACGGTTGATTCTCTTCCATCTACAATCCCAAATCTAGCGTGTCTGGTGTGTATGGCGTGTTTGGCACGTGGGGGAGACGCCCTCTTGCTCGGGTTTCGGCGTTAGTACAGCAAAGCACTGCGCTCGAAGCGCTGTGACCTACTATGACTGCATTGCCCACTCATGGCAAAGCAGTGCTTCCTGCGGCTTGGGATATCCCGTGCCAGCTTGTGGCATTGCTCACATCGCAGACCATGGTTTGCTGAGGGACACGGCCACGCTCAAGCATTCGGAGTTGACTATTTGTGATAAACTTCTGTAGATGGAGAGGATGCTCTTGCAAAAGCGCCGTCCTTCTTTGTAGAAATGCTGTCGTGGGTTTGTGGCTATGCGATGTCAGGACGTCAGGCATGCAAGAAGGGCTTGAATCATTCAATGCATAGTGCGCCCAACCAACCGATTAGGCACAACTGCCTTCAGCAGTCCGTCCAGTTTGGTGTCCTTTCTTACCATGCCGCGATTGTCACCAACGATGTCAAGGGAGGGTGCTATCGACAATTTGGTACATAGTTCTGGGCTTAGATGAATCCCGGATGGTGTGGTTTAGGAGCACAGTTTTGCAGCGCAAACTGGAACGCTACTCAAATTTCGCACATCATTCAAGCTTGAACACCTGTTGGGGACATCCTGCATCAAGGGCCGTCACGGCAAGCGAGCGGAGGCGAGGTGCTGCTCGGCCGGCACTGCGCCGACGGTAGCATCGTTGACTGTCCATTCCCAGGCCAATAGGTGGCTATAAGCTTTGCAGTTCCCAGTGTTGATGATAGTGAGACTGTCCCGCTGAGGTACGCAATTCCTCATCAGTCCCATGACTCACCAAGTTGCCAGTGCGCATCAAGCCAGACCGTGCACTGGAGGAACTGTGACTGTTCAGCCACACAGATCTGGGAGTTGCATCACTCGGCCCCGGCATCTAACAGGCCAGTGCATCAGACATCGCCTGAGCATGCTGAAGCTCTTGCTGGATGCCAGCTCCCACATCAGCTCCTGCACACGCTGTGTCCTCCGATGATTCCACCGCTGCCTTCTGCCCATGCCCTTCCAGCCTTCCTGCCTGCACCACATCGCCTAACGCATCGTGCTTGGGGGAAGTTCATCCTGCTAGCTGATGGAGGATCTTGGTCAGTCAGTAATGTCCCTGCAGATGGCGATGGCCACCCCAAAAAATCATGGAGTTGGACCCAAGGGGGTAGAACCTCCAGGTCATGTTGTGTGCCTGGGCCACCTGAAAGAAATCGTCCAGCAGCGTCCACAAGCCTTGACGGGTGTAAGAGAGCCAATCCTGCAGCTGGGTCAGGCAGTGAGAACTCCCGTCATGCTACAATTCATTTTCCAAAGGCACGCTTGCAGTGCATGCAGGTGACAACACCATCATGCCGATCCAGGGTGATCCCGTGTGAGGTACCCAAGGTCTGTAAGTTCACCAAACCCCACAATCTACTGCACAAAATTCCTTATTTGCAAGAAATGGGCAGATGCCCCGACGTCGATGTGTTGCTGGTGCACTGCTTCCCATTCAATCATTTCCTGTCCAATTGCCTGTCTTTCTCTAGTCGATGCAATCCAGCTTGCGATAATTGGGAGCGCTGCAAATCGTATGCAGACGCGTGCAGCAAGCCTTGGACACCTAGAGTGAAATAAGAAAACCTCTGCCGTACAACTGCTACACCAAGTTCATCCCCGCAATGAGATCACCGCCAATGGCATGAGAGAATGTCGACTGCCCTAGATGCCAAACTGGCTTGCCAATGTACGGCACTTTGTGGCAAACCTACAGGCTCCTTAGAACCAGCAAACCATAGCATGCCTCGCCCCTCCCCTCCTGCCCAACCAGCCCCACTCAACCTGGAACCGACCACACCCAACCCACCACCATATCTCCACCCCACGCCCACAACGACCCCCCACCCTCACCCTACCCCACGCCCACAACGACCCCCCACCCTCACCCTACCCCCTGTGAAACCTCCTCAACACCTCGCAGCACTGCCGCTTTGCATCCGGCAGGTGTCTCTCCACAAACGTCTGGTATGGCTCCCTCCTCTCCCGCCTCCAATTCGCCATCCCAAAACTTGCCAACGCAATCGCGGCCTCCCCGACACTGCTCGCCGACACCCCATGCTCATCCAGCACCGACAACAGCGCCTTGGATTCCTTCCCAGGCATGGCATCACAATTGAGCAACAAATCTTTGGTGATCGTCCAGAGACATTGGGTGCGCAATTCTTCAAGCCCGGCCAAGTCGCGCCACTGAGGATGGGCCCGCAGGCGGTCGGTTATGGCCAGCCAATGGCCGGCATCCAGGCAGGGCTCAGCATGGGAGCCAGTCTGGAGGCAGAACAGAAACAGGAAATTACAAAAGGGGGGGGGGAGAGCAGTTCCCAGGAAGTCACCACTTGCTTCAGATCCACCTAAAAGGTCAACGCGGCAGAGGCCAAACGTCCCAGAATTGGGCAGTACATGACAGTACATGACAAAAGTCAATCACGAAGGTGTGCAGCAAGCGGAATACTTCCCCCGTCCCAAAAGGTTTGGCAGTTATGATCTTGGGCCTTGGAAAATCCCATCAAAACATCTCCAACAATGCTCAAATTTTGACCAGATGTTGAGGTTTGTGTCGATTTCGACCCACCAACTTTTGGATCAATTGGCTGAGTACCGAGGGAGATGTGATCCCTCCGACACAGGCATGTTGAGACCAAATGTCGTCCAGGTCTCGTGGTGGTGCAAAGATGGGTAAGTTTGTCGATTACGTAATTTAGCAGGCGCCAACGTCGCACCTTGCACCTCGCCAACTTTGCTCCGATCTGCAAGCCGAAGCGTGTGTGCATCCCTCGCTTCTCCATTATGTTGCTAGGGCTCGAAGTCACCATGTTCAGGGGCCGTTTAGGGCCACCTGCAGATTTGGTCCGACATGCCCCTGTATGAGGGGCCATATCTCCCTCAATACTTAGCCGATTGAACTAAAAATTCCGCAGGTCAAGTTTCACATATTTGCAAATTTTGATATCTGGACGAAATTTGGGTGCTATCCAAGATGATTTGATGGGCTTTTTCAAGGCCACAGTTGGCTTAATTGCCATAATTCCTATCCTCTTTGGGATGGGAGGACGTAATATTAACTAAAATTCGCTAATGATGACCTATGCTCGAATATAAATCATCAACAACTTCCAATGGACCATTTGAAGTGCTACAAAATGTTCCAAATTATTTGTCGAAGCGCCCCAAGCACTATAGTTTCTGAGCCACCTTGAGGCTTGCATGACAGTTTGTCTGACATGCCCATGATTGGGGGGCCATGTCTCAGTACTTAGCTAATTGATCCAGAGATTTGGCGGATCGAAAACGACACAAACACAAAAATTTGTTCAAAATTTTAGCGCTATTGACATGCTGTGATCAGATGTTGCAAGCCCAACGTCATAGCTGCCAAACTTTTCAGGACGGAGGAAGTAGGCAACAAGAGAAAGAGGACAGGAGTCCAAAAAGTGTGAGGAAAGGGCAATACCACAGATAGCACCTGCGGGCGGACGAAGTAGAGTGCGTTGGGGCGGGCGTTCATGCTGGACACGGAGAGGCGCAGCAGGGCGGGGATGTCGTACCGGTCGCCAAGGGAGACCAACCGGCTCGCCTCGTCGGCCTGAGGAGGGGTGAGCACAGTCAGAGTGGGCGACCATAGGCTGGCTTTTGTAGATTTCAAAATATTACTTCAGAAGTACCGAAAAATATATGAACCTTCCGCATTGTGAAAAAACGCCTGGCCTTTTTTACTAGTGATTTTACCAGTGATTTTACCAGTGATTTTACCAGCGATTTTTAACTCTATTTTTTGCTCCATATATGGCGACATCTCTCACCGTGTCAACCTTTATCCGTTTTCCATACACGAACGACAGCATCAGGACAGCGTCGTCCACAGACACTGAGTCATCCAGCGGAATGACCATCCTCCCGTTCTCATGAGAGGCCTTGTTGCCCTTCATATCAGCCACGAGCTTGCGGAAATGGCCCGAGTGCACCGCCAACACCTGTGCCAAGCAGGCGATCTTTGTTCAGAAATCAAACATCATTGTTCAGAGATCATGGGCTCGATCCAACAAGTTCAACAACGACCTGGGGAGTGATTCCACAAATACTAGACAATGAAGGGTGCCTCTGCAAAGGCAAGTTGGGTTCCCAGATGAGGTTTCAAGCCCCTGGTTCCCTCTGCAAATGATGGCGATTTGCTTACCATAGTGTTTTCAACCCTTCCACTATAAAAAGGCTTTTACCATTATGCCTTTGCTCCGCATTTTGCTTCAGAGCGTTGTTTTTATTTTTCACGGTGCTTCACAAAAGTTCTGTTAAAAGAGTGTCATGTACTTTATTGTTTTCCCAGAAAAACAGTCAAGCGGTATGTTACTATGAGGAAGGGTTGAATATACTTGAAGCACTACGATAATAACATCTGTCAACCTGTGCACCAGCCATTCTTTGAAGTGTCCAGAGGGATCCTGTGCTTCATTTCGGACAGGGGCATCTTCTGCTGCTGAGGATGCCAGATGGCATCATCTTACAGGCCCAAGGGTGTGGTTTCTACTGTCTTAGCAATTGCAGCAACCAATATGCACTACCAAGAGATGGCAAAACACCATCCCAGCACCCTTCAGGTGATGTTGGGCATTGTTGCTGGCAACAGCATTGGGGAAAAAAGTTTCTACGCTCCCATTCCCCATGTACCTGTGGATGACACACATGTGACAACATCTGCCACCGAAACCATATCGAGTTGACCGGTCTCTCTCGCACACGCTCGCACACGGTCGCTCCCAGGCACGGGAAGCAAAACCGTAACCGGATGCATTACAGAATGAGTGTATTGACTAAATACCAATTACTGCAATAATGTTCACTTCCCCATCTCCATTGTCCCCATGTACATTCACCATAACACCATGTCTACCATATTTACCTTCCACCATCAAAACACACCATATATCATATGTTATATATTAACCGCTCGCTTGCCCTCACAATCAACATTGCAAAACGCCACCCCTGTGCATACAATACAAGATGACTGCACATTTATGGACAGGCTCAGCTGCACATTTCTGTGGACATGACCAATCCTGTACAGCAGTGCATGGGGAAAACCAGCAAGGATCCAATCTCACCTGGCCATGGACTGGCAGCTTGAGCTTTTGGACTGCCAGCACCGTGTCGCACAGCGCCCCCAGGTCGCCGTCGTCCTCAGGGAGGTAGGATGGGACAAGGTGGCCTGCTGCTAACATGGCCCCTCGTCTGTATTATGTGCTGTGCACAATGTGAAACTGAGGTTAGACAACCACAATTAACTATTGACTTAACTGTTTCTCTGCCATAGTTGACCCGAACTGTTGGGGAGGCAACAAAGACTGATACACGGTGGCTACAGGGTTTGTGAAGGTTTCTTCCATTCAACACTGTGACTGTTCCATAAAGATACTCTGCCACCTGTTGATGCAAAACTGGACATCAGGCAGTGCTCTGCTGCAGTGAGCAGGTGCTGAGGCACTCAACTGCTATCAGGTCAAGATCACCAGAATCCGTCAGCATTCTGGCAGGGAAGCCGTCTGGCACAGTTCGCATATCCAACGCAGCACATGGCCTTGTTGCTGCTCAACATCCCAGGGTCTGATGAGGTGGATGTCTTTGCTCCTTGGTGCATGTACTGGCGGTGTGTCGAATGCTACCAATTGAGCACTGCCAAATGTGTGAACAATTTGGAGGGCGATGCTTCACATGCGCCATATATATAGTTTGATGGCAGTGCATGGGGCAAACCAACCATCCCAGTGTAAGACATTGCTTTTGTTGGGTGTACACAAGTGCATAATGTATATGTGTAAGGATCTTGAACTGGTGAAACTACTGCCACTGTCTGACAGCATCATTTTTTGTGCCAACCAACAGCGATGCAAAGCACCACAGAATTCATACTCTTCACTGTCCTCAAGAATGCGCTTATATGTCACACCAACATCACGAAGCATGAGGCTTTATGCAACGCTGTACTCTTGTTGTGCCACGTTCATTCTGCACAATTATCTATGCACAGACAAGTAGGCATGTTTGGCACCTCAAGTTATGCCATGCGTGGATGAGGGCATCAGCACAGCTTGCCCAGTGTCAGAAACAACTTGTACAGCAATGGTCAGGAAGAATGGGTGGTAGAACTGGATCGCCAATTGTAGACTCTGTTGTTCCCAGAAATCTATTTGTTCTCCCCAGCAGAACAGGTTGGTTTGACACGTGAATCACAAAACTCCTGGCATTCCCTTCTCTCACAGGACAGTCCTTCGTTGTGCCCATGATTCTGCACCATTGCCCCATGCGTCTATTCCATTTTGACGAAGGCGTGAATCCTCACAGAATGATGGAATAAAGCATGGCAAATCACTGCCCCTCGGGGCCTGTGGGTGCTGTATACATGCATGAGTTCTTCCTGCTCCCTTTGCAAAGGTCACCAACAAGATTGCACCACAGGAGTTGAAGCTGCGCTGCTAAAATTCTAAAATTGCGAAGGCGATCCAGCAAGGACGGGTGCCAGGACATCCACAGGGGAAAAGCACAGACCCTGCCACTTCAACAAGAAAGAGAGCATTTGTTGCAACGGGCCCTCCTTCCTGAGCAAGAGCATTGCAGCATTCTCGTTCATAGAGCAGGAGGTATTGCAGATGTCTCAGTGCGCAAATGCAGCACTGCGCCAAGTAACACATGGGCAACTTGGACAGGCCAAACGTGCAGCAAGGTTGAGAAAGGCCCGGAACTTCGTTATTTGGATGCATGTGGACGTCACTAATGGGCTGAAAGAATGTGGAACCAAAAGGCATTATTGCAGTCTACAGCAGTCTTCCACCGTATTTTCAACTGTGGTGTGCGGTCACACCCTGCCATCAGACACTTAAGAATTGTCTGTCGCAGAATGGATCCGATTGCTCCGAGATTTGGCTCAGAAGGTGGGCGTTCGTTGAATGACATGCCCCCACTTCTGCTTGCACCGACGCGTCCACCAGATCCGATCGCGAACCGCACGGCTTCCCCGGTGTGCGGAAGCGCCTTTCCGTCGCCCAGCGTCCACGCTCATCGCAACCACTCACGCACGAAAAGCCTCCATCGGTGTGTCAATTTCGGGGCCCATCACCATGCGCAGAATCCTCCCCCGGATCTACGTGTCTCCTCCCGGTCGATTGACGCCCGAGTCCGCAGCACTGCCATCGGACGCCATCGACCCCGCGCCGCGCGAGCCACTGCGCCCGATCGGCCCAATCCGCCCATCCGTCTCGCCGGGCCATCAAATCAGATCACGTCGCCTCGCCTCGGAAAGCAGATGTCCGCGCCCAGGCGATCGACAGCCGCCGGCGACTCTAGTCACCTGAACCATCAACAATAACGCGGCCCTAGCGCGGAATGGAATGCTCGCTTCGTGGCCAACTGGCCGGAATCGCACCACGATTGGCTTGTCGTGGATCCGACGGTCCGTCAAGGCTCGTTTTGGATTGGGAGCCGCGTGGCCCGGTGCGCCCTCCGTCTCCTTGTCCCGTGGAGCCGTTAGCGCTCGCGGTGGGAGGCGGGACGCCCGCTGCCCGAGTCGTTTTGTTTACAAACACCTGCGCCCACTTTTTGGCCTGCTCGCTGTGCGTCATTATGACAATCCTATGAGATAATGACGTCCAGACCTACACAACTGGCATGATTAAACCACAACTGTTCGTGACGCCACATAATGACCACCGTTCGCTGGGTGATCACTTACGTAACTGGCGTACTACACGCGCTGTGTACGCTGCATGGGATGGCCCGAGTATGCCACCATTGCTGATATTTAAACAACAGAAAACAAATTGAAAACACTCCGAAAATGGGTTATGAGTGGACAGCCGCAAACCTTAGGAATGAGAACGAGAGCGGTTCAAGGTTAGGGAGACAAGGGCTGGATGTGAGAGCCACCTGTGTTCTCACCAGACTCATGTCAGGCGCCCGCGAAGACATGATGATAACATTTTTTTTGGTCAACACAACTCGGTTTTGGCCCAAAACTCTTGGGCGGAGCTGTATTTTGGGCCGATTTTCAGGTCGGGCTTTGCATTCGACTCGAATGCAACACGCGCTTGCGAAACGACACCCATGGAAACTTGATAAGAACATTTTTTATATCAACACAGTTCGGTTTGGCCCAAATTTTTGGGGCGGAGCTGGATTTCGGGCCGATTTTCTAGTCGGATTTTCCATTCAAGTTGCACAAGTTGCACCCTTGCTTTTGAGTCAGACATGAGGGTGAGTTTCGTATTCCAGTCAAATACGAGATGCACATTAAAAAGAATGTGGGCTTATCATTCGACTAGAATACAAGGGAGGGTTTGTGGGCACACAATTGCCATTTCTGTGGTTGATTTTGGCGTGTGTGTGGCGCTTGGGCGTTACATTAAGATAACCTTTTGCTTGCTCGCGATGGGGTATTTGAGACACCGGCGCACAGCACCAAACGGGAACAACAGGTTGCTTGAGCGACTTGTGACTAGGAGGTGCATTGGCTGAGAAAACCACGCACATCCTTCGAAAGGCAAGCCCGTGTAGCGGGCTAGCCAAGCTCTAAAACGGGAAAAGCCAAACCGAAGGGATAAAGGCCGAGGAGGCCCGTGCACCCCATTTGGATCCCACAACACATCGCCAACACCACCGTTGGGGATCTCAGTATGTCGCATCTCCCAACGCTTCACTGAGGCCTGGCGTCTGAGCAGGATGCGTCGTTTGAGGACCTTGAACGCCCGTGGGGAGAACCCGTTGGTTTTCGTGAACTTGCGCAACATTCGAAAGTATCTGGATGCATCTCGGCATGAGGGCGACGCGGGTCCTCCCAAGGCAACTTGACCGGTCATAGTCGTGCTGAACAGCATGGGCGTCGGCGGGCCTTGCACGGCCCGCCGACGGCGTTGATTTTTGGGCCACGAGATGAACGCATCCGTGAGGGAGGGCAGTTACATAGCAGGTGCCGAGAAGGCAACCGTTTTTTGTGGGTCTCACGGGCTTGGTGGCAATTGCAAGAAAATGAAGAACGTGGAACGAGCCTTGTGATAACGTGTGTGTGTGTGTGAGGCAGCTGCTAAGTAGAATATGACACTCATAGATGATGGGGTCCTGCCCATTCGAATGACTCTAGGTTGTTTTGTGAGTATTTTGGGTGTGCGTGAGATGACGGGCGCAGAAGTGGAGAGTTCAGCGCGTGGGGTGCAGAACTAAGTTGGTTTATGTCTTGGATGTGTGGAAGGCAGCACACTTGTAATTTGCCAAGTCTGTTGCGGCTTCGCAAGTGTTTGTGTCTCAAATAGTGCAGAGAATGCACTGATGGGCTTTAGTCATGCGTTACCCACAGTGGCCGGCGTTGTCCCTTTAAGGAAATGGCATCAAAACATTTCTGTAGGCTTAAAAGTAGTTTCAGACATTGAACGTCATTTGATTAACGCATGGTCCATTTTTATGGGCAGTAACACCTTGGCTCTTGGGTGTCCATACACAACTGCCCCTTGAAATTGGCGGCCATAAATGTACAATGAAAAAGACGCAATTCAATGAGCGGCCGTCACGAACACCACGATAATAATTTACACTGATTCGCGATTATAAAATTCACAACTTCCAATTCATACTTGTGAAGTTATTCACAGTACTTTGATCGCGTCGCTGCCAGGTGCGCTTGGTGGCTGGGCACTCGCTTGTGCTAGGAATAGGACGGAAGCTCGTGAAGGAAGCGGCAGTTACTTAAGGGCCCAGTTCCCATTGCTGATTGACCATGCAAAGATGCTTCTGTCCCACGGGCCCTTGTGCCGCTTACCTTCCATTCCCGCTTTTCCAAACCTATAAATACTCGGAATTCACTAAAACTATTGCTATTTTATGATGATGCAACCAACGCAAATCTGAAATGCTCTTGTACACCGCATGGAGCGCTATGGAGTCAGGTGTATGGAGCAACAGCTGCAGCAGGGGCCTCCACCATTAGTAACAAAGCCAAGTAGAGCCTCTTAAAGTACTGAAACAGTTCTGTGGGCCCCAGGGTGAAATCTATCCACAACTGTTGCACATCTACTATCGTTCCTAGACACCACAGTTCTATCGCAACACTAATTACACTACTGCTCAAATATTGGCACGCCACAGCGCTGCTCCCGCACCGCCGGCCGCCTACTTCACAACTACCTGCTCCTAAAGTATTCACCCACGAATCAGGAACTACATTCTCGCTCCTGGGCTA